GGCAGTGCTTCTTGTAGGTCAGAGCACGGTCCAAAGTGACTCCCAGGTATTTGGGTGTGCTGCAATGCTCCACTGGGTTTTCTTCCTAGGTAATCGTCAGAGCTCGGGATGCTTGTCTGTTCTTAAGGTGAAAGGCGCATGTCTGTGTTTTAGATGGATTAGGGATCAGTTGGTTTTCCCTGTAATAGGCAGTAAGAGCACCTAGAGCTTCGGAGAGCTTCTGTTCTACCATCTCAAAGCTCCCTGCTTGAGTGGTAATGGCACGATCATCAGCATAGATGGTTTAGAGGTATAAGTGTTTGAACAAACTTGGCAACGATGTCGAAAAATAGAGTGAAGTATGTACTTTCTGAAAATAAATTTACTTTTTTGAAATAAACTTTCGTTGTGTACTTATGTTCAAATGGACCTTACTTAAAAAATACCACTCGTGTGTGTGTGTGTGTGTGTGTGTGTGTGTGTATTCAAGCTGTCAATGGCTGAATTTTGGATACATATATGTAGATACAGAGACATAACTGTGCACATATAGTCCTACAACTCTCCACTTGGATTTTTAATTTGCTTCAATAGCAAATAATTTAAAATTTCCCCAAACAAATCAGTACAAAACATTCTTGTTTTTAATATGTCCCATGGGGCGTCTTTCCCAACCTCTTTTTCCAACAAGACAGGGCCTGGGGAAAAGAGAGATGCAGCAAATGGCAATCGGTTGGAAGTAAACAAATCATAACCATTGATCAATAATAGATGAATTCCCTTGTTTTTCAATATCAGCTTGGAGGGTTGTATGCGCATGCATGCAGGGATGTGACACGCAGAACAGGCCATGAATGTTACCAGTTCATTTGCTTCTGGCTCGAGTGAAATTTGTACAGTAGTCTCTAAAGATAATGAATTTGTAAATGCAATTGTCCCCTGATTGACATTTCTGTTGCATGCTGCCTTCCCTTGCTTTTCGGCCAACTGTGCCTCCAGCCAATCAGACGAAAGCTTTATCAATCACAGAGCTTAGGCCAGACTTGTCCAGCCTATGGACCATAGACTGCACATGGACCAGGACAGTTATGAATGCGGCTCAGGACAAAATCATAAATATATTTAATCATTCTGAGCTTTTTTGGGGTAATTTTTGAAACCTGATTGCATGGTTCTCAAGGGTGAGTTTTGTAGTTGGAGCGGAATATGTTACATCCACAAATATCAGAGTACAGCGATGTCTTAATAATAATAATAATAATAATAATAAAACTTTATTTGTACCCTGCTACCATCTCCTCAAGGGACTCGGTGCGGCTTACATGAGGCCAAGCCCACAGTACAACAATAAACGAAAGCAATAACAAATAATCAATTCAAAACAGTTAAAATAAAGCTCAAAAACAAAAAAAAGCACAATAAGCAATAAACAATAACAATAACATACAAGCATTTAAAAACCTATGTAATAATTAAAATTTAAAATAATGCTGGGCATGAACAAGGTAGGGTAATCTAGGATAGGATTTCCAAAGAAAGATGAGGGCACGCAGACAATTCTAAATCAACAGTAAAGTGCATTTGAGGACATATTGCTAAGAGTTTTCCTTATTCTGGGAAGGCACACTGGAACAACCACGTTTTCAGGCTCCTCCTAAAGATTGCCAGCGTTGGGGCATGTCTGATGTCCTTGGCGAGTGAATTCCAGAGTCGGGGGGCCACCACCGAGAAGGTCCTCTCCCTCGTCCCCACCAATTGCGCCTGTGAAGGAGGTGGGAGCGCGAGCAAGGCCTCTCCAGATGATCGAGAGATCGTGTAGGTTCGTACACAGAAATGCGGTCATGCAATTAAGAGTTTAATTTGTACCATGACCAAGTTCTAAAGTCAAAATGCTCTTATCCAGAAGCAAAATTTCCCATTGAAATGCTAATAATGCTAATAACAACAACTTTATTTTTGTATCCTGCCACCATCTCCCCGAAGGGACTCAGGGCGGCTTACATAGGGACCAAGCCCAGTCAAACAGTGTTAAAATATAGCACAATAAAATACATATACAAAACATCATAAAAACATAAACCATTAACAGCCAACAACCAGTAGCCGAGCACAGTGGACATGTTCTAAATTGAAGGGCTGGGCAAGGGCTTGTGCAATACAACTGCAAGGGCATTATTATTAAATTATTTTCTAGGCCTGGGTAACAACGGAAAAATTTGTTTCTAAAATCGATTCGTTTTTTGGGGGTTTTTGCATTTCGTTATTTAAAATAATTACAAAATTTTCCTTTTAAAAAGTTCGATATTTACAAAATTTCGTAAATGTGAAAAAAATTACAAAACATTAACGAATCGATTTCCGAAACAATAACGAATCGATTCGTTAATGGCGGACGCGACCGCGAAATACGCTAAAAAACCTCCAAAAACTTCTGAAGCTTCCCTCTCCCTCTGTTGTTGACTGTTGGTGTGATATTATAATTTTTTTTCACTAATTAAACAAAAAACTTGCCCCAGACATGCGGAAATAATAACGAAACGACCTCAGAACAATAACGAAACGAATACAATAACGAAATACGAAGCATTTACAAAACGTGTTTAAAAATTCGTTTTTTTAAAAAATTGCTCCAGAATGGTTCGTTATCGTTTTGTAATAAAAAAAATAATGAATTATTAACGAATTACGAATTAACGAAACGAACCGCCCAGCCCTATTATTTTCTATTAATCTGTCCCCTTGCCCCCCCCATTTTTGTTACATGTTTTGAAATAAGAAAATGTTTTTTTTATAAATAACAAATAATGTATAAATGTATTGTCAAAGGCTTTCATGGCCAGAATCACTGGGTTGTTGTAGGTTTTTCGGGCTATATGGCCATGTTCTAGAGGCATTTTCTCCTGATGTTTCACCTGCATCTATGGCAAGCATCCTTAGAGGTAGTGAGGTCTATTGGAACTAGGAAAGTGGGTTTATATATCTGTGGAATGACCAGGGTGGGGCAAAGGACTCTTGTCTGCTGGAGCTAGGCGTGAATGTTTCAACTGTCCACCTTGATTAGCATTTGATGGCCTGGCAGTGCCTGGGGCAATCTTTTGTTGAGAGGTGATTAGATGTCCTTGTTTGTTTCCTCTATGTTATTTTGCTGTTGCAATTTTAGAGTTTTTTTAATACTGGTAGCCAGATTTTGTTCATTTTCATGGTTTCCTTCTTTCTGTTGAAATTGTCCACATGCTTGTGGATTTCCGTGGCTTTTCTGTGTAGCCTGACATGGTGGTTGTGAAAGTGGTCCAGCATTTCTGTGTTCTCAAATAATCTGCTGTGTCCAGGTTGGTTCATCAGGTGCTCTGC